GGCCAAACCGGGTTACAAAACGGTAGAACTTATCAACGGGTGCACGGATGGGCCGCCGTGGGGACTGGGGGAGAGGGGAAGTGGTGAGACAGGAAATAACGACGGCTGGAACGGGAAGTGTTTACCAGCCACTGGAAAAAGAGCATGGCGCATTGCCGAAGTGGGTTCGGAAAGACGCCGTTCCTCCCTCTCTGACTATTGCTAACCGCGAGTAGCTTCCGTTATATCATGTTACGTACTTTGAAAAAATAGGACATCTCCTTAGACTTCACTTCTACTGGGGCTGGCGTCGGCACAACCGCATTAGGACACAAACAAACAAGCAGCAGCTGACACACTTGAGTCGAGAATCCAATAAAAAAGACTGACCGATTGTAGGAGTAATGACTCACGGTACATATGTCCATGCATAACATGCCTCTTAATGAGGAATTTTTAATCAGGATAATTCCCTCTTTGACAAGAGGACTTGTGTAAGACAAGAAAATTCTCGTTTGTGAACTTGGGACTGCAGTGCGTGAAAAGACTCCTCACTCCAAGAGCTGTAAGGGCATAGCGCGGACGGAGGGTTTCGGGTCGTCGCAAGTCGAGTCATACCTCAAGCCTGGCTCCCAAATGATCAGAATCGCCCTTCCGTCTTCCGGCCGTGGAATTCATTTTCCTCTGTCTCGGGCGGACGGCTATGCTCAAGCGAAATCGGTCTGTACGCTGCTCAATCATTAGTCTTAAAATCCCTTAACCCAACCACGAGGAATACGATCATGTGTCCGTTAGTGACACTCACCAGATCGTCCGCGAAGGAGACTACGAGAACGCCTGCTCCAAAGGGTGAAAAAGATTGCATCTGCGCGCAGAGAGGACACGTGAGTACTCGTTTCATTTTGCTCGACAGACCTCAGCGTTTAAGGGAGCAAGAACGAATATCCGAAAGCGATTATCATAAAGTTAGAACCTGGCAGCGCAGCGGTCACGGTGTTTAAAATCTTGATTTTATAATTCAATGATGACCACTTAGTACTGATCCTTTTCTATAAATCAATTAATCATGAAATTATACGGTTATACGCTGCCCCTCAACTAAAAAGCTCTAATCTGCAGTACAAGACTGGTCTTAATAAGTAAATGCAAGAACTAGAATGACTGTGTGGTAGTACGAGACTGACCAAAATTAGCTCATTAACAAGACTGTCAATAACAAGTGACTGCGATTGGCCGTACGAAGTGTCCATTGCAAAAATAACTATGCAAATGAAAAGCCGTGCGAGGACGGATGGCACGAGAGTGACCAAAGGGAAGTAACCGCGATAAGAGTGGCCGTAGCAAATGGCATCGTAAGAAGAGTGTTAGTAACAAAAATAATAGTAACAAGTGTGACCGCAAGACAGGAAGGCGAGCGAGCGAGCGGTCCAAACCGCGGTCGCCGCTTCCCCTCGACAATCTCTTCCGTCGAGAGAGAGAGAGAGAGAGAGAGAGAGAGAGAGAGAGAGAGAGAGAGAGAGAGAGAGAGAGAGAGAGAGAGAGAGAGAGAGAGAGAGAAAGAATGTGTGTCTGCAAAGGAAAGACGAGGGATGAGATAAAACGTGAGAAAAACGTGAAGAAAAGAGAAGAGAAGAGACAAGACGAGACGAGAGGAAAGAAGAGAGAGGAAAGAGAAGGGAGGAAAAGAGAGAGGAAAGAGAAGGGAGGAAAAGAGAGAGAAAAAAAAACAATAATAATAATAATAATAATAATGATAATAATATAGTTTTATTCCATTAGTTACAATGGATATGCTTGGTGTGGCGTGCTGTCTGTTTCATTTTGTTTCTAAATGACCCCCTGTGTGCAAGGAATGGCCGAGGCCTACCATCACTGGCGGTGAGGGATTTGAACGCAAGGCAGAAAGATTGCTAGACGAGATCGCTCCCGCTGCACCACACAGCTAAAGAAAGAGAAGGGGGGAGAAGAGAAGTGATGAGCAGGAAGAGAAGTGGAGATTACTCCAAGCACCGGTCTAAAAGGAGCAATCGAAACGTAAAAGCATGAGAACACCGATAAATCCGCTGGATTGGATTTCGAAAACGTGAACCGAGAAGGAAGACACAACTAACACTAGATCGGATTTCAGGAGAACCAAGAACCGGTATTTAGAAATACGAGTAACTAGAACCGACGGCCGACAATGCTTGCAGGGCAATATAATTCAAGAAAACCTTCCGACAACTGCGGTGTTAATTATGAGCCCTACATCGAGGTTAAAGAGAACCGAGAAATAAGAACCGGTGTTACATACTGAACGCAAAACCAAATTTGCGCTGGATTTAGACATCATAGAAATCCTACTAGAACGAATAAAATCGAGAACCGAATACTGAATCCTGAGCGTAGAACCTTCAAAAATACTAAAGCCGAGAGAACCAGAGAACCACTACTTACATTGGACTGGATTTTGGTGTTTTCCGCCAGGCGCCGCATCTCGGGCGTCTCGGCCACTGTGGTCGCCTTCGCTTTCGGGATGTGCCTGCAACACCACACACATGTAGAGTAACAAAAATGATAACCCGTCATAAAAAAAAATAATGTATTAATTATGAACATCGCAATAATACCTAACGAAGAACAATGCTATTACAAAGGGACTATTGCAATACGGTAAAAATAACCCAGTATGTGTATACTTCTAGGTACGTGAGAACGTAGGTACATGATTGTGTTGTATATCTGTGGTGTGTGTGTGTGTGTGTGTGTGTGTGTGTGTGTGTGTGTGTGTGTGTGTGTGTGTGTGTGTGTGTGTGTGTGTGTGTGTGCATGTGTGTGTGTGTGCATGTGTGTGTGTGTGTGTGTGTGTGTGCATGTGTACGTGTGTGTGTACATGTGTACGTGTGTGTGTACGTGTGTATGTGCATGTGTATGCGTGTGTGCGTGTGTATATGTGTGTGTATGTGTGTGTGTGCGCGTGTGTATGTGTGTGCGTGTGTATGTGTGTGTGTGTGTGTGCGTGTGTATGTGTGTGTGCGTGTGTATGTGTGTGTGTGCGTGTGTATGTGTGTGTGTGTGTGTGCGTGTGTATGTGTGTGTGTGTGCGTGTGTGTGTGTGTGTGTGCGTGTGTGTGTGTGTGTGTGCGTGTGTATGTGTGTGTGCGTGTGTATGTGTGTGTGCGTGTGTATGTGTGTGTGCGTGTGTATGTGTGTGTGCGTGCGTGTGTATTTGTGTGTGTGCGTGTGTATTTGTGTGTGTGCGTTTGTATGTGTGTATGTGTGTGTGCGTGTGTATGTGTGTGTGCGTGTGTATGTGTGTGTGCGTGTGTATGTGTGTGTGTGTGTGTGTGAGTGGGTGAGTGTGAGTGTGTGAGTGAGTGAGTGTGTGAGTGTGTAAATGAGTGAGTGAGTGAGTGAGCGGTGAGTGGGTGAGTGAGTGGGTGAGTGAGTGAGTGAGTGAGTGAGTGAGTGAGTGGGTGAGTGGGTGAGTGAGTGAGTGAGTGAGTGGGTGAGTGAGTGAGTGAGTGAGTGAGTGAGTGAGTGTGTGAGTGAGTGAGTGAGTGCGCGTGTGTGCGTGTTGTGTCTAACATGGCAAAGGCAGTTCGCGGCCACCTCTCAGAGCCCTGATCAACCAAGACAGCGGCTGCTGTCCTAACGCGTTCTCTCCAATATTTCCGAACACTGCGTCAAGGTTTGTATTTCTCCTATTTGATTTTCTCTTCAATCAGACCTTTTATCATTTATAGATATGCAATATAATGCTTATATACGGAACTTATTTCACCATCACCCTATCAGACATACACAACCATTTACCCAACCGACCGAGCAAACGCAAGTTTACAGACAAAATAACACTATATTCACCAATATAAACATGACACCTCTGTCAAGCAGGTGTTTGGTAAGAACCCGCTTGAATTACCTGCTTCTGCTTCCGCCAACCGACCCCTTGTACAGGTTCTTGCTCTATGCCCCACCCAGACTCTTCTGTCCCTTCCCTTTCATTCCCCCACCACATCCTCACTTCCCCTCCCCATCTCCTTTTCCCTCTCTCCCTTCCCCTCCCCCCCTTCTCCTTCCCCTCCTTTTCCCCTTCCCCTTCTCCTCTCATTCACCAATTTCTCCCCCGCCCCCCCCCCCCCCATCGACTATCCCTCCTCCACCTCCACTTGCATATTCCCGCTCCTTCCTTGGAACAAATTGCATCATCCTTTTCCTTTCGGGTTACTGACAAAGAAAAAAATAATCGAAAGACTTAATCAAGTTAACGTTTGTTAATTTACCTCGTAGGCTCGCTGGCTAACCAGTTATCATAATGGATACGATTTAATGAAGTTCATCGCAATGGTCTTACAGTCATCATTTTCTCTGTATGACATATTTCCATTAAAATCTTGAGCATCATGAGATGATGCGCACTCCATAGAACACTTGTATGTATGCTGCTGAAGGAAGGGTGGAGGGCGGTGAATGGGTGTGTGAGAGAAAGAAGAATAGAAAAAGATACAGAAATAAGTTATGAGGACAGAACGTGGCATACAGTAATAAGGAAAAGATGAGAAAGCAAATGATTACTATAAAAACGCCTGCGCCCGACGAGACAGAAGTGCATGCACGCTAATTAACTCACAGCGTGAGTATCTTAGCGTATGAACTAGGCAGACCCCGCCACCAAACAACAAGGTCCACACGATCGCTGGGATGTGTCACTCACGGGCAATTTCTGCTTAGATATTTTCTTCAATTTCCCGGTTCTCTCTCTCCTTCCCTATATTCTGCTATCTCCCCTGTCAGGGAGTATTCATAAATGTAGACTTGTATAGTGCCGTGACCCCCGCCACGTCCCGAAAGTGTTGAAGACTGAGCTGGACCTACGAATCCCACACCACCATCACGTCTGTTTGTGATGCGTTTCGCTCGCTCGTCGACAAGCGACGGCAGGTCTTACTTGTGGTTCGTAGAGGATAATGCAACCCTCAGGACTCAGGGAAGGAGAGATGAATCGGAGAGCAGCCAGTTTCGTAGCCCCTTTCCGGGCCAGATCCTTCACATGTGGCTTGAAACTCCTCTCTTCGTCAAATGTTATACCTAAAACCTGAATGATAGATTGGATTGAGTTTTCCTCGAACCTCAGATATGATAATCGTATGGGTCTTTTCAGGAGCAAATGCAACTTGCCTTCTTTTACACCACATGGTAATGTCTCCTAGTCGTTGCTGGACATGAACTTGTGTCCTTTCTTCCTGGTTAAAGGCGAAATGGAGAGTGCAGTCGTCGGCATATGCCCTTGCTTCTGGGATGAGGTTTAGAAGGTCACTGAAACATATGCTCCAGGGCAATGGCCCGAGGACACTTCCTTGGGGAACACCAGCACCTATAAGGTATTCTCGAGAGAATGTGCCATGAAGAACCACGTGGAGATATCGCCCAATAAGGTAGTCGCTGAGTAGGCTGTGGACTTTGCCCCCAATCCCATTGACCTGTAGTTTCTCCAGCAGTTCTTGGTGCCATACATAATCAAATGCTCCTGCAATATCAAGTGCTATGGCACAGGTGGAAAGATGGTCATTCAGTGCTTGGTTACATGTAGTGTTAAGAGGAGATCAGCAGGCAGCTGAACGTACTTTCCTAAATCCAAATTGCCTCTCGTTTAAGAGTCTGTGTTTGGTAAGGAAGCCCACCATTTGGTCAGCAATCAGTGCTTCCATGATTTTACCAATGTTAGAGAGGACTGACACAGGTTGGTAATTCCCTACATCACTTCGACTCTTCTTTTTATGTACAGGTACAACCTGTGCTTTTTACCAGTGTTGGTCACTTTCCTTGTGAAACACATATCTGAAAAAAGCTTTGAAAGAGGGAGAACGAGCTGATCAGCACACCTTTTAATTAAGAATGTGCATGCTGATATGCTCAGGGCCTTTGTTTCCTTTGGGGGGGATCAGTTTTCTAGAAGGCTGAACACCATGTTCTTATCAACTATGATTTATTCTAAGGTGTGGTTAGTCCTTTTTAATGTAGATGGTGGATTGTGCCTGGATTCACGCATTTGTATATTATTGGCAAAATGTTCTGCCAATAGATTAACCTTTCCTTGGTTTTAACTGCAAGATAGCCATCATGTCCTTTAAGTGAAGGTACTGAACTATTGGCTGTGATTCTTTTTACGTCCTTCATAAGGGATCACCATACTTTTGATCCCATGTTGCAACTTCTTCCTCATATCTTCTTCCCACTTTTTGAATGCCCAGAGTTGAACTTTTTCCATGTTTTTGCAAGCTACACGATGTTGTTGCACGTTACGGGATGTGGGATGTTTTTATATTGCTTCCAGACATATGATGCTTGGCGGCACTGATAACCAAACCAAGGCTGGTCAGAGTCTCTTACTTTGTAATGCCGATTAGGGACGTACTGATGTTGCAGGTCAAGTATTAGGCGAGTAAGAGTTTGTTGGTCAATGTCCCCTTTTAAGAGGTTGTTTCACTCAGTTGACGCAAGGGCGTCATTGAGGGATGCCCAATCTGCACGGTCCCAGAGCCAGGTGATCCTTGTGGTTTCTTCAGATCGCTCAGCAATAAACTTAATGTCTGTGAGAACAACTTGATGATCAGAGGATCCCACAAATCCTAGTAGACGACATTTGACTTTGTGCTTTCAGAGAACTGATATAACTGGATCTAGGGAAGAACTTGAATTTCTACACTTAAAATGTCAAGAAAATTATTAACAGACCTTTGGATCAAGTACTGATTCAGATCTCCAGCTAATATGAAATGTTTACATGAGTGTTGTAAACATTTCATCAAGACTATATACTAACATATCTATTGGACCAGAACCTTGCCACTGAGGTCTATAACATGCATGCTAGGTAGGGCAGCATCACTAATGTATAAAAAAAAGAAGTTTGTCCCATGTCCATGTGAACGTAGGGGACATGTTCGCAGAGAAACATGTTTACTAGGCTGCGGGATGATGCGGGAAAATTTTGAATGTGTTTTATGCACAGTTCTTTCTTATTTAAAAAAAATAATGTATAAGCAGACCTTAAAAACGTCATTTCAAAATGATCAGGCATGTCAACATCTATTTGCTGTATCTGCATAGATGAATTAAAACAGACAGCAATTCCTTGCCCAGTAGTCTGCCAAAATTTGATGGTACTTCCTCATTGCGGAAAGTTTCTATTGTAAGTACTATGTTTGACGTGTGCCTATTTATAAAGTTGTACGTAAGATCCCCAAGGTTTGTAAAAAGAAAAGAAAAGAAAAGAAATTCAGAGGTTTGATGACAGGATCTGTATATCAGGCATTATGTGTCTATTACCTGATTTGGAAAAAAAAAAAAAAATCTTGTCGGGTTATTGCTCCTAAAATGCGGTGGATAGTAATGGGTTCTTATCATAATCACCACGGATTTACGCTGTCCCCTGTAGTTTTTTTTCATCTTTTATTATTTTTTTTTGTTACATACTCTACAGGAGTCTATCCAGCAAGTAATCTCTATCAGTAGGCTCTAGTGACCGATCCTGATTTC